GGTCGATTATTCACCACATATTCTGCTTCTAAAAGCAAAGTAAGCAACATCTCTTCTGTCGGGTGGCGTTCCTTTAGTGTTGCTGCCAGCGCCCTCTTCACTGACTGCACCATTCGCTCCCAAGCTCCTCCCATGAAAGGAGCACCTGGAGGAATAAAGCGCCATCGTATCGCCCTTACCTCCGCCTCATCTTTTGTTATTTTATGCGCTGCCCTCCTTAGTTCTGCATCAGCTCCGCGGAGATTCGTCCCATTATCGCTGTGTATTTCTGTAGGGGCATCCCCGTCTCGCTATCATACGTCGCAGGGGCCATAATTGCGCTATCTGTACTTAATGACCCTGCAATCTCTAAATGGATAGCCCGAGTTGTAAGGCAAGTAAATAGGGCAACATACCTCTTCTCATGGTGGCGGCCTACCGTAACGCTATAAGGGCCAAAATAGTCTAACCCCACAAAAGAAAATGGGCGTTGATAATGGGCCAACCTTGTTCCGGGGTGATCACCAGTGGCAGGCTGCGCCGGTTTTGCCCGTAGTATTCTGCATTGGACACAACTCTTCACAATACTTCGAGTAACCGTTCTCAATCGTATCACCCAGAAACGAGATCGAACTTCATTCATCACCGTATCAGGTCCTGCATGATTGTTTTTACAGTGTAACCAGGTGATGAACAAGCGGGTGTATCTGTGTTCACCATCCAAAATTGGAGGACTTCGCTGTTCTGTTCGTCGTTCAGATAGAGAGCAGCATCGATTCTAGATTTCAACCGAATTATACCCTCATTATCCATGATAACGTTTAAAGTCCGCAATCGAATGTCTCTCCTCAAAGGAAGCTTCTTCTGTAACGAAATAATTTCATTTTCAATCGCTATTAATCTTCTTAAAGCATTCTCTCTATTTTCTGGTAACTTCAGTTCTTCTTTGCGCCACAACAACCCCGATTCAAAACGTCCATCAGGAAGACGGTGGCTGTAGCTCTTTAATAATGACAACGCGCGTTCCTCTGGATCATTTTTTTGACGTTTTGGTTCGATTCCTAGTGAATCTATACTTAAAAACTTCTTGAACAAATCTTCTAATTTATTTTCATTCTTTTCATCTTCTTCTTCATTATGATTTACCAGCTTTAATACACTAACTTTTCCAGGACCCTTAGTAGGCCCGTGCAATACCCAACCTAATTCTGTTAATGATGCAACTGGATCTCTGCACCCACCACTTCTTATCTTCCTCGAAATAATCAAATGCCAGTTGTCCTGGCCAATAAGAAGAGTAGGTGTACCTCGATCATATGTAAGATCCTCGGTTATTTCCAGAAGGTGATCACAACCTTCTATCATATCTGCATCCACCGATTGGTGATTAAGATTCAAACTATTTATTGTTCGTGCTTCTATTTTATGCTCCTTATCCATGTGAACACCATTAATATAGAGACTCACTCTCCTTGAACTGGAAGCCTCCGTACGTGCTCCTGCCACCCCTTCAATAATAAAAGACTCTTCTGGACCTGTAAGTCCAATCTCAGAAGCCACTTCTTTCTCTATAAGAGTGACCGATGACCCTTCATCAAGCAATGCAAATGTAGTCATGGTCCCCTTGGGACCTCTCAATCTTACTGGCACAATCTTCAACAAAGCTCTACCAACTTTCTGTCGAGTCGCAGCTACAACAGCTGATTTTCCTGCTGGTTCTACTGGCGTCTCTGAGGGAGACGCTGAAAAATGCAGAAGTGAATGATGAGATGCCTTGCAGCCTTCGATCCCACATGGCTTATAGGAACACCTATGACGATGATTGCGACGTCCTAAACATCTAAAACACAGGTTCAAATCTTTAGCCTTCTCCCATCTACATTTACTCTCCAAATCCATGAACTGTTTACAGTCTTTTATGTGATGTAAATGATGACAGACAGTACATTCATAGCTCTGTTTCTTTGGCGTAATGGACGTTCCAGGTGTTGCAGTAGTTGATGCCACATTTGTTACAAACGGTCTTCTTTGTGATGATGAGTGATGAACATTTTCAACCTGAGCATATCGACTGCAAAGGTCCGCCTCGCGGGAAAAGAAAGAAGATAATTTAACTAAGTCCGCCTCTTCCTCAGGTCGCCCCGCAGCGTAGTCATACCAACGGTACCTCAAAGTCGGTGTCATCTTCTCCACAACAGCTCTCACAGATTCCGGGTTAAATAAGTAGCATTCCTTTTTTAAAGCCTTGATGACTGTTACAATATTGACTATCTTGCTTGAAAAAATACAAATATCACGAGGATTATCAGAAAGTTTAGAAAGTTGTTTAATCTTGTCCATCTCCATAATAACTAATGCATCAGGTCGTCCAAATCTTGCTTCCAAAAGTGACAAAATCTCTCCAGGGTCCACATCTGCTATAAACAAAGAAATGGCAGCTTCCTTGGCTGCCCCTTTCAGGCATCTTCTTAGCCGCACCAAATTTTCCAATTTAGAGAAATTACTGCTAGTTTCATTATATGCTGCTCTAAACGCTAACCACTCACTACTTGCCCCGCTAAAAATAGGTAATTCGAATAGCGTTTTTGGGCTATGCATCGCTCGTGCGGCTTCAGTAAGCGCAGATACGAGTGTCTTAATATCGAGCTGCTGATTCGAAGTTGTTTGAGCATCATGATCGTTTGAATCTAACCAATCTCTAACTAAACTATCTCTCTCTCTGAAGCCTTTATTTTCCGCCAAGCTATCCAGCTCACTGCCCTGCGCTTCAATAGCCGCTAATTCAGCTTCAGCGAAAGCGGCCTTAGCGCAAGCCTCTTCTATTCTTGCAGCTGCTAATCTTTTTAAAGCCTCTGCCCGCTGCACACTCTTCTTGCTCATCACCGATCGCTTCTCCGAAGGAGCCTTAGGGTATTCGTGTAATGACTTCTCTGATTGATGATGAACGGCTGCCATTGATGCAGGAGCTGGCGCTTGCGGATTTGCTAAATTATCGTCTTCATGTGTAGGAAGTACTGGGGCCGATTCACATTTTACGGCCTGGCGTCTGAGCGACCTAGTAATTGGCATGTTTGGGAGAAAAAAAGTAATTAATAAATTTAAAAGAAATCTCACACTCAACACACACGCCACGCCCAAACGCAGAAAAAAATATAATTTTATTCACTACACAAAAAAACTTATTGAAAGGAACTCGTTACTACGAAACGAAAACGAAAATTATTTACGTATTACGTACTAACACAACAGCAAATACTATTATTTATAATTATAATACCGCACTCGAGCACTATGATTTTATTTTGTTTCAATACGCAACGTAAAAATAGTCACAAAATTATTCACACTAATATTTTCATAAACACACACTTTAATATTATATAAATATAGTTTCACAAAATATATAACGAACCGAACAACTATTAATTACTCACTAACATTCACTTTAAACGTAGGTAGGTTCACTATCACAAAAAAAGAATGAATACCAGTATGAAATAAATAACTATTTCAACAAGTATTTTATTTAAATACTTAAAACGAATCGAACGAACAATAATTTAATAGCTATTTATTTCATAACTATTTAAGTAATTATTTATCACCTCACTAACACTTAACAGGTATGTATATATATTACGTACTTCGATGAAACGAAACAAATAACTAATTAACTATTTAAATAAAACGAAACGAACAATAATTTTAAATAGCTATTAGATTTCACAAAATACGCAATTTACTTATAAAATAAATCACTGTGCATTCCGCAATAAAAGTATCTAACATATAAGAACCGAGAACAAAGGAAACAAAGGGCGTGCGCGTGATTCACTATAATATTCACTTGCACACAAAACTTCACGATTCAAATCACTTTTATACGATTACACACTTCACTAATTGTCTATAAATGTTCAAAGATCCGGCCGAAGACCAAAATGTTGATGACGAGGCGAAGAATTAAAAGACTATTTTCGAAAAAAGTGTGCAGCTGCGGAAGCAGTGTCGAGCGGCGTGTAGTGTGGTCAGTGACCTCAGGCGAATGAACGAGACGATAGCACACCACACGCTCGCCCGGCCCCGCCCGCAGTTGCATCACACTATTTATTAACAAACTAAACAAAGAGCAATTTTATCGTGCACAGTATTGTGTATTATCTTTAGTGAACAGCTCAGCTATTCTTAATAAAGTTTATAATGTAGAGGATAATTTGAATTCAGAATGTGTAAAAAAAATAATCACCGACCACCAATGCGGAATTCATATTACTATCGTCGTTCCCGATGCAAATTTCCAAAATTTTATTAATATAAATAGCAGCTGTTATGATTATGTCATTGTACCATACGAGCCTATCCAATTGCCATTTAATACCAATTTATATCTTATCTACTATAAGATAAATAAAACAGGACCTTCAATTTGGAAACTAAGATACAGGGTGGGCCAGAAAGGCGTGCGATTTTAAAAACACTCTTGCGTTTGAACCTAATGAGAGGGGGCTGCGCGGGTGGTGGGGTTAAGAAGCTCGGTTCTCGGAAATTTAGTCGCGATGGATCGCTTCACCGGAGCGCAGCGTGCATTCTGCGTTTAACATTATTACAAAAATGGCGTTTCGTGAGCTATTGTTCGGCGTTTATTTCGGCGTGAGTTTGGATTACATGACCTAAATCAGTGTCCGAAGGAAAATGTTATTCGATCGTGGGTTAGAAAGTTCGAAGCTACTGGTTCTACTCTCAAACAGAAGCCTGCGGGACGCCCAAGGTCAACAAGAACGAAAGGCTTCAGTTTAACGTAATCCTGGTCTATCGACTTGCAAACGATCAGCGGAACTTGTGGTCTTCAGAACATCTTTGCGGCGCATTTTGGTGAAAGATCTGAAATTGCACCCATATAAAGTTCAACTTGTGCAGGAATTAAAGCCAAATGACCCAATTTTACGTCGGAATTTGACCGAATTTTCTTTGAAAATCAACAAGGGCAATCTGTCACTGTAAATTGAGTCCGATACATAGCCATGTTAAAAGATTTTTTCTATCCACAACTGCAACAATTTGAAGCCTATAATCGTGCGACATGGTTTCAACAAGATGGCGCGACGTGCCATACATCTAATGCCTCTTTGGAGGCCGTAAACGAGATGTTTGCTGGAAAACTGATATCGCGCCGAGGTGACATATTGCATGGCCACCTAGAAGTCCGGATCTAACGCCACCAAACTTTTTTCATGTGGGGATACCTTAAAAGTAAAGTCTATTCCAATAATCCAGCCACGATTAACCAGTTGAAGACCAATATCTGCGAAGAAATGGCAGCTATTCCCTGCGCAATGTGCCAGCAAGTTATTACCAATTTGAGGTTCAGATTCGGGGAATGTTTGCAGCGCAATGGTGCACACCTGGATGATGTTATTTTTAAGAAATAAATTTCCCAGGTGTCTATTTTAATTGAAATAAAAAATTGTATGTGTATTGTATTTAGATTTTTACTATATTTTTTTTCAAATTCGCAAATCTTTCTGGCCCACCCTGTATAACAAATATTGGAATCCAAATGCGAAATTTTTGTTTGTAACAACATCTGAAGTACAATATCCTGAATTAAAGCAAATCTTTCGCAAGTTATTAGAATATTACATTTTCAATATAACTGTATTGACACAAATAAATAAAACACAAGGTTCATGGACTTTTTATCCTCTTAAAGATGGCAACTGTCGTTCAAATTTGAATACCTAGGGAGTTGCGTTAACAATGACATCTTTCCAGAAATCAAATCAAAAGACTTTACGAACTGTACAGTTTTGGTAACAGGAAATAAAATTGTGAATAAAAACTCATATATAAATTACATACAATATTTAGAAGAATATGTCATAAATGTGACTTCAAATGTTATTGGTGTCAAGATAAAATATTCTTTTGAAGACTACGATACTAACGATGGAGAAGTGTTGAATAACTATACATCTGTTGGAATGTTAAATTATCTTCAAAAAAGGAAAGCGGATATTGTTTTTGGAGGATTTTTTCTTACAGAAGGAAGAGCATCGATTTACGACTTTGTTTCTGGTTACAAATATACAAGTATCAAGCTGTTGGTACCAAACTCGGGACCAAAACGTTGGAAAATATTTTACAGAATCTTTAGAATGAGGAGTTGGAGTCTAATTGCATGTGCTTTTATTTGTTTGACTGTGCTAACATGGCTATTAGTTACTACTGCTTTCAGATAAAACGTACTAGTAGAATTCCTCTTCATTTAATTGATTATTTCTTTGGCCATTCCGATAGGAATTGGTTTAAAGTGAAAAAGCTGAGAATAATTTTGATATTTTGGGTTTTCTTAACTTTTTTTATTGGGAGTTTTTATAACAGTGAAATATTTTCTTTATTAACAAAACCAGGACATGAGCCACCGTCATACAATCACGCTAAACTTCAACAAAATGGATACACGGCTTGCATTTCTGATTCCCTTCGTGCGTACATTGATATAGTATACAACGTAACACAACCAGATAAACAGGTACCGGAATATAAAAACACTGAAGATGTATTAAATACAATAACCACGCGTGACCATTACTCCCAGTACCACAACAATCTTTGTCACTACAATACTCGTTTTGATGAAAAAGATATATTAAACAATATTATTGAAGTGAAACTTCTTTATCGAGGTTGGAAAAAAATTTAGTGTAACATTTTTTCGTTACGCGTCACATTTTTCGGTTACGCGCCATGTTGCTTTTTGAAGTCAAACTTCATTATCGGCGTTGGAATGAAACTTCTTTATCGACGTATGGGAGAAATTTTGTAGCAAATCGTCACGTTTTTCAATGATAGTAATAATTCTATTACAATTAATGAAATTCTATAATAATCTTCGTAGTAATAAGGTAAAATGAAATATTTGTATTCATGTCTATGATAATAAAAGCCTTTTGTTAAACTTTATCTAATTTAACGAATTTCTGTAAAGTTGCATATAGTAGATCATTTTTCGAAAAACAAGATCATAAAGAAGTTTCACTTCTTACGTGTGTACACCTAGTACACGCACAATTTATTTGTTCACATAACTGGAAATATCCAGTAATACAGCAGTCGTGTCATGGAGAGACATAAAGCGAAATGTCGAGTTATGTAAATAAACATTGTTAATTACAATTTCAATTAGTGTTTTTAAAAGTAAATCAATATAAACGCGAATTTATTAAATTATTTACACCAGTTTACGTGTTGAGTGCGTTGTGTCAGTTGTGGTTTATATTAAGAGAAACGGTGACTTATATAATTCGCAATTATATTCGTTGATAATTTAAATAACGATTTTAAAGCACTGTAGTTAAATTATAGCATAATTAACTTTAAGGAGAATGCTGTTCAAATAATTTTGTCCTACTGAATAAATGCTTTGAAAAAAAATAATTGTATTATTATTTGACCTGCTCGTCTTTAAAAAATAAAATTTAGGATTGTGGTGCCATTGGATTTTTATCATCACATAAAACATGACTTAATATATAACATACCTATATACGTAGTTAAAATAGCAAATAAACGTTTATGATTAAATAGGTAGGCAGTCAGGCACAGAAGGCTGATCATCCTTTTTTCTGAAGGGAATTCTTTTCCGCACAGACTGTGGGACTCACTATAACAATTTCTTGCCCCCAACGCGTGATTCACTGACAATTTCTCGCTCGATCATACAACGGTGCTTCCTCACATGCAAATTTCTGCATCTATAGCACACATTGCTACGGTCCAGTGGATAAATAAGCTTAGTCATCAGCGTTGAATCAAGCTTGCCGGTTTCCTCACGGTGTTTTCCTTCAGTCCTTCACCAAACGTGCGAATCTTAAATTGGTACATAGAAAACAACTCCATTGGCCGCCCCGATTCAAACTCAGCGATAGCCGTCGCGTTCTCAACCGAACACTGTAAGTACGTTGATTGTTTGATTAGACCACCCAGAAACAACACAGAACAATACGATAGATTGACATTGTCTCTTAAGTATATTGCAGCAAAATGACTCCCATTACAATTGAATGAAAAGAGGACGGAAATACAATTAGTAATAAGTCTTAGCTTTCTATTTTTCTTTATATAGTATTTAACAATTGTTAAGTTACAAATTCATTAAACTGTTGGAAGAGCGGAGTACCCTGACCCCTGAACTAAGTCTAGGGAGACCTGTACATGTCTCCCTAGACTTAGTTCAGGGGCTCCAATATCTGCTTAAACAATGTAATTTTTTATTGAATTTTGAAATTTAAAAAAAATACAAATATTATCGACTGATTGACGTCATAGTTCAATCAATTAAATGAAAAAACTGGTGCACGAATTATTTTAATTATATCATTTACACACTTTTGGCAGTTAACTTTGAAAGACTGCCGCGCTATTTGATATTTAAATCGATTCATCGCTTACACATAGCTAAATATTTTGTTCCTATCACTTAACATTATTAAAATATACAACACGTTAAACAGAACTATTTTTTAATATTGCCGCGAGGGGGGGGTTTGGGTCTATGCTTCTACGGTTCCCAGTACGACATGCTTGCATGGTAGCATAGGTGCAAACCCACCCTACCACATCCTTCTGATGGGTAGGGAGGCGTGGCTTTTGGGGGTAGCGCAAGTCGCTATGATCCCCTCAAAGCAAGTTTGGTGGACTAACCTTCTCGAGGTTGCCGACCCTGTTCTTGGTCTAATACCCTATGTATTAGACGTAACTAAAACCGCCAAGCGAACCATTGCAGGGATGGAGAGGTCATGTCCTTGCGAGTTCATCGTCCAAAAAGGAAGGACGGTGGACAGTAAATGACCTCCCGCGTGTTTGTGCCGTGCGCGGGGACCCGTACGGGGGGATGAAGGAATCCTGGGGGTTGAGTGGAGCAGTGCGCCGGAACAGTTGTGCGCTGCACACAACACACCTCTTTGGTCTGGATTTCTCCTCACACGGGAGGCCGGGGTTTAGCTAACCACGGTCAACCGGCTGTGGCATCCCATAAGCGGGCTGCCGAGCGAGAGTCGGGATGTGGGGGGGGCCGTCGGCGCGGTACGGGACTCGGGGTGAGTTTGCGTCATAGTCTCGTGGCGTGAACAGCTCCGTACTTCCTTGCTGCGTGCGGATGCGTCTGCCTCCCTACGTGCTGACTCTATACCGGAGGAGTAGCTCTGACGTCGCTTGCTGAGCAAGGGACGTCCCCGACGTGAGGGCTCCGTGGCGGGTGGAGAGCTCCAATGGTGAATACAAACCATATCACCTCATGGATAAAGAGGCAAAAAAACTTAATAAAACTATCACTAACACCAACAAACCCAGGGTTGCGTCTTTGGACGTGTCGCGGTGCAAGTCACCAGTGGCGCGATACTCTGATGCCCCTGTCACACACACGGATGCACCCTCACGGGCAGCGTCCGGGCCCCCAAAGGAGAGGGCAGCGGCTGGGGTTGCACCAATCCGGGCTGCACTCCGGCCCGTACCCAATCCGATGGAATCCCTTATACCACCGCACAAGGATGTGACCACTGCTGCGGCCAGGTTGACTGCGTCGGTCGAGCCAAAGATAGCAACTCCGGACGATGATACAGCACTGTCTGCGTCTGAAGGGGTGCTTCCGCGGCAAGAACGATGCGGCAGACCGAGGCTGCGACGGAGGGCACGTCCAGTGCACTAACCACGACCATGGATATGTCGGCCCTGAAGACCGCAATTCAGGAGCCGACTTTCAAAATGGTCGTGAGCAACTCTAAAAGGCGACGGCACAGGAGAGCCTTAAGGGCGCCGGAACAGCAGAAGCTGGTCACCGGCGCTCCGAGGCCACCTGTGAAACCTGGAACTGCCCCCGCTGTAACCACAGTTGAGAGACGGGAAAAGGACACCGAAGCCTAAAAGATCCACTGCTGCGCCCGTGCCTAGCTGCTCTGGGTGCGGCAAGGGACTTAAGAGTTCCAAAACAAACCAATCCACGAAGGGCCAGAAGCGCGACCGGCCAGAGGAAACCGTAACACCGACTGGGGAAAGTAAAAGGGTCAAACCCAACAAACCCCAGACGGTGGCAGGGACCTCGGCCAGTTACGCGGAAGCGGCAGCATCATACAAAACCAACGAGCTTTGTGTTGCCGTGATGACTGAGCCTTTCGTGGATATGACACAAGAACAGGCGGATAACATCCGCCTACAAATCGAGGGTAAAATTCAAGATGAGCTCCTGGCGGATCTTGATGCTACCCTAACTACCGAGCCCAACGACATCAGGTTCCGGGGTAAGGCCCATTTCTCGGATGGTGTCCTCAAAACTTGGTGCGAGGACACTTACACTCTGGGTTGGCTGACCGGAACTTGTGATGTCATCACAAATCCAGTACCTGACACCAGGTTGGTGGTTCGGCCTCAATCG